CCCCCCCGTGCCGCGGCGCGCACCCCCCATGCCCCCCCAGGGGCTCGGCTGGGTGCGGCCCCCCCACTGCACCGGGACCCCTGGGCGGAGGGATCTGCGCTCTCTGCAACGCCACCGACTCCAATAAAACCTTTCCAGCGCCCGAAACGCCGTGAGGGGGCCAAAGCCATCTCCTCTCTTCGGGTCTCTGGGGAGGGAGCGGGGGGCCAGGCTGCGGGTTCTCCCCGGGGCTGGGGACAGGGCAGGGGACGAGCCTGGTGCTGGCACAACTCGTGTCGCCAGCGTGGCCGCGGAGGTGATGGGGTTCAGGGTGCCCGTTGTGGGTAACCTGCACCTGTGGCCCCGTTCCCAGCACGGCGGCATGTTTCGGGTTTACTGGCCTGGCAGGCGACAAGAAATGGGACAATCAAAAGCAAAACAAAAACCATCACCAGCACCGGGGGTGACGGCAGGGGCACAGCCAAACCTTGGCCCTGTGGTGCCAGCGCTGGCGTGCAGCTGTGCCGGCACCTTTGGGGTCCCCTTGCGGCAGGGGACATCGTGCCCTGGGCTCGTCCCAGGCCTGGGGGGCTGTGGGCTGGGCACGGGGGGATTGTGGTTGTGATGATGCCAGCATGGGTGCTGGGCTCGGCTCACCCTCAGTGCTCGTGGCACTATGGCACGGCCCCAAGCCACTCACCCTGGTGATGCTGAATGTCCCCGGGGTGATACACGGGGGAGAAAACGGACATGGAGACCCCCCAGCCCCATGTGGGACCCCGGCGTGGAGCAGCCCTGCCCTTCCCCGTTATTTGGGAGAGGGGAGCAGAGGGGCTGTGCCAAACCCCGGGAGGAGCCGCTGGGCGAGCAACACGCCGTGGGGGAGAGCGTGCGGCCCCGAAGGCGACAAGGCTGGGACCGCAGAGGAAGCAAACAGCCCACGAGGTGCCGGGTAAGCGAAACGCCGAGCGGGGCAGCGGCGGAGGGAGCCCGGAGTCAGGGTTGCAAAGGGAGGGGGTACCCTTGGGCACAACACCAGGATGATGGGCGCGGAGCATCCCCAGCAGCGGGTGGAGGTCGGGGAGGGCAGCTGGGCTTCGCGCCTCCGTCGTCTGCTCATGATCGGCCTCGTTAAGGGCTGCTGCTTCTCCCTCCTGACAATGCCAGCAAACCGGCCGAGGTGGGGGAGACGCCGCAGGGCTCGGGGTCCAGGGGGGCGATGGCCAGGGTGGGGGTGCTCCTGGTTAACCTGGGGGAAGGCTCTGCCCCGTGGACGGGGAAGCCCCAGCCCTCCCACCGTGGGTACCAGCACTCTGGGAGCACGGCCAAGACCTGCTCCTCCATGTTATTGTAGGGCCTACAGCCTCCCTGCCTGAGGGCTGAGGGTCAGGGATGGCCCCGTGGGGTCCTCGGCTGATTTTGCACCTTGTGGGGATGTGGGTGCATGACCTCGGCACTGAGACACCCTTAAACTCAGCTGCTCTTGAGAAATCCCAGCCCCTGCCTGCCTTGGCTCTGGCTGGGAGCATCCATGTGATGTGTTGTGACCGTTCTCTGGCCTCTCTGTCTAGGGGAGGCTGCAGGAGTGGAGAGGTCGCCGTCCTGGCTCCCTGACCGAGCACAGCCCTGAGCAGGGCGCAGAGCTCGTTCCCAGCCGCCGCAGCACGGCGGGCGATGGTGTGAAGGAGATATAGGCTCCGTGCTGCTGGTGAGGCAGTGCAGCAGCGGGCGTTATCACAAGCTGATCTCTGCGTCTGGCAGGGGAGGGGGAGGAAGAGCAGCCCCTGCCCAGGGCTGAGCCGGATCCGGCCCCCCAGCTGGGCACCAGCACCTCTGCGGTGCTGGGCAGTGAGGGAGCAAGGGGGCTGAGCCGAGGGGCATGCGGTGACACCCATGGGCACACAATGCTGCGGGGAAGGGTCCCAAAAAGAGCCAACTGGGGGGGTTTGCACCCACCCGGGGATGAGGCCTGATCCACACCTGGGGCGGCATCAAGGGCGGCCAGGCTCCTTCTCTACCCATCCACCAGTTTGGACTGGAAATGCACTGGGAAGGGGGTGGAGAGGGGGGGCCCGGCAGCGGGCAGGGGGGGGCCGGCACGGGCGGGGGTGGGCCGCCCCCCCCCCTCTCCCGCCACCCACTCTCCCCCCCAGCTTCTCTCTCTTTTTTTGAAATCACGTGATAAATGTCAAACGCCGGGTGCCGTTACTCATCCCGTCGCCGACTCAGCACCGCTTTCCTCCGGGGGCGGCTGCCGCTGAGTCAGGAGGCCGCTGGGCTCCCCCAGGGCCATGGGGACCCCCGGCCCCCCAAAACACCTCCAGCTCCTGGGCCATGTGGCGGCTCTGGGACATGTGTCACCCAGGGGAGACGCGTCCCTGTCCCGGGGGAATGATGCTCGTGGGAGTTTGTGGGTCCCGGCACCCCGGTTTTGGAGCATTCACCTGCAAAGCCACTGCCTGGTTGCTGCCCCGCTCCTCTGCCCTTGGATGGTGCTGGGGGGCACGAAGGGCTGGCGGTGGCCCCGGGATGCCCGTGCTCACGGGGGGCAGAGGCTTGGTGCCCCGTGGCCATGCCATACCTGCGGTCGCGAGGCCGAGCAGTTCACCACGGCCCGTGAGCAGGATACGGGCACATCACCCCCCTGCACCCCCCACCTTCACCCGGGGGGACCACCCCACCCTGCACGGGGAAACCCTGAGACACCCCCATTGCAAGAGGGACCCTTCCCCACCAAGGCCTCCTGTGTCCCCGGGAGCCCCGTGCCTCAGTTTCCCTCACCCACCCCGCTGCGGCTCCACCGCCCGGTGTGCAGGGCAGGCGGGGCTGCCCGGAGAGGGGGTGTATCTGTGTGTGTGGCCCCGTTTCCTCCGACCCCCCCCGGGTGCTGCCGCCTCCTCGGCACCTCACAGGAGGGAGCTGCAAACCGCAGCGCTGGGCTGTGGTTTTGGTCTTGCCCTCACCCCCCAGCGTGGCAGGGCTTTCGCCTGGGGTGTCCACCCGGGCCTCAACTGGGTGCTCCTGGGGGCCGGTGCACCCTAGGGTGCCTGACCACCTTGCAGGGCTCAGGGTGCCGCGATGCCACGCATGCATGGCACCCTGCCGCTGAGGTCCCTGTCCCCAAACCCACCCTGGAGCGCCTCTGCAGCTGCCCTGCCCCAAGGCCCCCATGGCTCGAGGCAGGGGACCCGGTGGCCGGGAGCATCCCCCCACTGCCGCAGGCATCGCGCCCTGCTCCCCGCGGCAGCAGCTGGGGACCGGGACGAGGTAGTGGCCATGGCCAGGGGTCTGGCATGGGGGTCCTGCTGGCAGCAGGGAGTGGGAGGCCCCACATCGGGGCTCAGAGGCTCTCGGCAGGGGTCAGGTGTCCGACTGGACCCACTGGGTCCTGCTGTGGCCTGGCTGTGCCGGCTGCGGTGACAAGGGATGAGCCAGTCCCGCCTCAACCGTGAGAGGGCTGGGCTGCGGGGGGCTTCCCGCGGTGGCAGGGGCTGGGGTCCGTCTCCTGCAGCCTGTCCCGAGGGCGACGGTTGCACCCCCAGGGGGATCGTCCCCCGAAACGCCAGGGATGTCACAGCCCCTGCACAGCCCCTCATCCCCCAGCGCTGCCCATGTGCGGGCAGCCCCCTCCCCACCCGTGGTGGGACACCACAGCACACCCGGCTCCGCGCCCGCATCCCCGGCGTCCCTGTCCCCCACGCCAGCCCGGCCTCGCGGCAGGTCACACCTCGCTGTTTCCTATACGGCAACTTTCTTTCTTTTTTTTTTTTTTTCCCAGCAAAAAACCCCTCTTATTTTGGGCCGGTTGAAAGGTTTCTTTTTCCAGCAGGCTTTCGGGGTTTTTTTTTCTTTTCTCAGCCTTTCTATCATTTAGGGGAAAAATGAAGTGATTCTCACTGCTCGGGTCCCGCTTTCTCCTGCAGCTGGGTCCTGCGGCACTGGGGGGACAGGGACCAAGGATGCTCCTGCCCCATTGCTGCGTGTTCAGGGCCAGCTCCAAGCAGGGAGGACAGCGGTGACAGCCAGACCTGGCGTCCCCAGCTGCGTGTGCCGTGAAGGGTATTCTCTGATGTCTAGTAAGGGTTGTGCTGATGTCTTGCCCTGGGTGTTTCTTGCTCCTTTCAATTTTGCCTGCTGAAGGGCTCTGCGCTCCTGGGGATCACCCACATGCACAAGACGATCCCCCCAAACCGGGCTGGAGGGATCCCCGCGGCTCCAGGGGACCCCCCGGCTCAGTCTGGGGGCTGCGGCGGCAGCTCGGCCCAGC